GGAGTGCTGGGGACAGGACAGGGAGTGCTGGGGACAGGACAGGGAGCACCAGGGGATGGAGTGCTGGGGACAGGACAGGGAGTGCCGGGGACAGAGTGTGCCCAGGGACAGGGAGCACTGGGGACAGGACAGGGAGCACCAGGGGACCCTTAGGGGATCTGATTCAGAGCTCAGACTTCAGGCCTCCTAGATGCCTTTTGGGACAGTGTGTCACTCAGGATCTGATGCTTCTTAGGGCTCCTGTCTTGGTTTCCTGGGCCACAGGGGTGTTGGCAGGTCCACACGAGCCACCTGCCTGAGGCCGAGCTTGTCCTCTGGGGGAGCCTGAGGCAGGTCCCCGCCATCCGTAGGTTGGGAGGTTTGTGTTCACTGCTAGTCCCGCCGGTTGCTGCTCTGCGTGGCCTTTCCCCTCGGGCCTGTCTGCCCAGTGTGGGGGCACAGGGTGCCTGTGGGGACCAAGGGTGGTGCTCAGCAGGGTGGGCACCTGGTCAGCCGTGCTGGTCGCCATGCTGCAGGGAACGCTGGTCAGATGGTCCCCTCTCCAGCAGGTGGAGAGAGAGCACAGGTGTCCTGCTGCCTGGGATCTGCTGAGTGCCGTCCTTCGCAGCAGATGAGTGTCCAGTCCCTGAGCCTGTGCAGCGGCCTGCCCTGCACTCGGGCAGGGTGGGTGCAGCCCGCTGCATGTGAACAGCCATTATGTCACCCACGGCAGCCAAGGGCTCTGGCCATGGCCACACAGGGCAGAGCTTTTGGACTCTGGGACTGCAGCTGCCCCATAGGGCCCAGTGCCCTCACCGCACTGCTTGAGGTGGGCGTTACCCCCTGTGGTACTTGGCCGTCACTTGTGGAGCCAGGCATGGCCTTTAGGCGGGAGGGGCCGGCCCTGGGTGCGGTGTGGGTGCTGGGCCTGCAGTGCCGACCGGGCCCTGCCTGCAGGTATGTGCAGCACTACGGCCTGGGCGCCGCCTGTGACGACATCGAGCGCGTGCTGAAGTGCGTGGCCGTGAAGCTGGGGAAGACGCAGAAGGTGAAGGTGCTCACGGGCACAGGTGAGTGAGGCTGCAGACACGGGGGCCTGTACCCCGACACCTGGTGGGGACTCCCCTCCGTCCCCAGAAGAGGCAGGGAGAGAGACATGTGATGGCTGTTCAGGGAACGGGTCTCGGGGCAGGGGAACAGAAGGTTCTAGAGGGGAAGGAGCTTGGCCCAGGCTCCAGGGGGTGAAACTGGCTCTGGCTCTGGTCCTGGCCCTGGGTGGTGCTACTTGTCTGGCCTCTGGAGGCTCCTGGTGACGTGGCTCAAGCTCTAGGTTCTTCCTGAACGTGTAAGGTTCCCGGGCTGCCCTGAAGCCGGCTTTGGGGTCCCTTTGGGGTTCCCTGCCTGAGGTACGGGCCCACCCTGAAGGCCCCTCCTCACCAGACCCTCCCATCCCAGGTGACGTCAACGTCATTCAGCCGAACTACCCCGAGGCAGCGCGAGACTTCCTCCGGACCTTCCGCAGGGGGCAGCTGGGCCCCGTGATGCTGGACCTCGATGTTCTGCAGGGCCGCCCCCCGGCCGACGCAGACCCCTGAACTGGGCGCGTGGCCTCCCACACCTGCCTGGCCTGGGTGTTTGAGGCTTGGGACAGCCTACCCTTTTCCAGAAGCTCCACGCCAGCCACCATGACTCGGGTCCCTGCTCCAGGAAGGGACGCGGTGCTTCTGGCCCCACCGCACCTGGCCGGCTCCTGGTTACCGGGGCACCTGCCAGCATCAGAAGAGTGTCCCGAGTACCTGGCCTGGCAGCGCCGTTCCTCCTCAGTGTCTCTTAAGGAGCTGAGCTATACTCTGAAATTTTTTAAATTCTGCATTAGAAGGCCCATCTTCGTTGGCCCATGAATTGTACAGCCCTAGAGCCTGGGCCCACATGTGTTGAAGCCCCTCTCACGCTTGGAACATGGGAAACAGGTGGGTTGGCAGCCAGAGTTTGTGTCAGGTTCTCAGACTGGAGACCTGTCCCCACAACCAGGGAGCCTCGTTGCCAGCAGAGGGTTTATTTCACACCAGCGAATGTGCTCACAGACAGGGACAAGGCGTTTTGAGTAGCAAAACCCAAGGACTGGCCTTTCCCCTCAGTGCTCCGGAGGGCCCATTTCTTGGGCCTGCGGACGGCTTTGCTGCGTACAGGCTGGGGGGTGCCTAGTGTGGGCAGTGGAGACTCCGGGCCTCTGAGCACCTCCTAGCTGACGGGATAGTGGGCCTGTGCTTCCGCGGGGCTAGGGGGCACTGCGGGGCCCTCCCAGTCTGGGCATCTGCACTTGAAGGAGCCTGAGGAACGTTCCTGCCTCCAGCCTGCGTCCTAGAAAAGTGCCGGGCAGGCCAGTGGGCTTGGGCGGGGGCGCAGACTCTGGGGGTGCTGCTGGGCCTGGGCTGGGGCCACCTGGTCTGAAGTTCTGGCCTTATCTCTGTCCAGTGGCGGCCTGGCTTTGTCTCTGCCATGCTCAGTGTGCAGCTGGCCTTCGTCTTGCGTGGGTGTCCCGCCTCGTCGGGGCTGGTCGGTGTCTTCCGCTGGCCCCTCCAGGTGTGGCTGCCCGTGTGGCTGCCCCACGCCCTGCACTCTCGGTACCTGAAGTGACCCCCAGCACCATCTCTTCCTGCTGGAACCCTGCCTGGGCGGGACATAACTCGGAGTCGCGGCTGTGCCATATGCTAATGCGCCAAATAAACTGTCACGGAAGAGTGATGTTTCTGACGTCTAGAGCTACGTCAGCTCCTGCACCACGTGGCGTGTGAGGGTCCGGGTGGGTGTCTGAGCAGCCGAGGGGGCTCTAGTGTGTCTCCCTGCCCTTGGGACACTCAGACTGTCCTGCCTCCTTTGAGGAAAATGGCAGAACCTCTGCCTTTGAGGACCCTGGGCAGGGCTTATCCCCAGCTTGCTGGTCTTTGGTGGCACCGAGCTTGGTCTGGAAGGGACGGAGGAGCAGCTGGTGCCCAGAGAACGCTGGCAGTGTGGACCTGCAGAGCTGCGGGGAGCTGCCGCCTGCGGCTTAGGGCCCCAGTGTTTGGAGGAAAGTGCTGGGTCCAGGGTCTTGCCAGTAGCTTCCAGACCCTCCCCTGGTCAGAGCCGAGTGCTGAGGAGAGCAGAGGCTGGCAGGGCCTTGGGTGGTGCCGGCCTGACGCTGGTGTCCACCAGCAGAGCCACCTCCCAAGGGCTGGGAGGTCCAGGGGGCAGGCAGCTGTGCCTGATAGTGGAGGGCTGAGATCCCACAGCTGCAGGGTGCCGGGGCCCTGGGAAAACCCACCTACCTTGGGGTGGGTGGTTAGAGACCTAGAGAACTTGGCACAGAGCAGAGGCCCTGTGGTGCTGAGCTCCAGGCTGGCGGGCACCAGAGCAGCAAAGGGTTGGTCTTTTGCACAGAGACGTAAAAAGCCTTGTCAGGACTAGCCCAGCGCTTCCTGAAGGCCACTTTGGGCGTCTCCCCTGTCCTCAGAATGTCCCTGGGTGGTCAGACCACCCTCAGTGGTGAAGGGGGCTCAGCTTTCTCCTGTGAGTTCTTTGCTGCTGAGCCGAAGCTGGTTCTTAGCTCTGGCTGCACCTGCTGGCTGTTGGCCCCACTGCTGTGGTCACCTTTGCTCCAAGGACCTGCTGGTGGCCATGGTTGGCCCATGGGTCTCAGTTGAGCTGCTGGCTTCTGCCAAGCAGGCTGTCACCTAGTCCAGCTGCTTCCAGAAAGGGGATACCTGCTGGGAAGTCCAGGAGCCGCGCAGCTCGGGCTGTGCCCAGGGAGGGCTCTTGCGTGGGATCGGCAGTTGCCACACCGCTGAGTAGAGGTGAGAACTGTGTGACCCCCAGTGGGAACCTGAAGTTCAAAGGAAATGGGAGGCTCTGGAATGTGTTCTTTTCCTTCCCCAGAATGGGTCCCAAGAAAGTGACTGACTTCAAGTGGTTGGAGCAAAGAGGCTCCGAGGGAGAGGGGAACCACCCCTGGCAGTGGGTCTCGCAGGGAGCCTGCCCAGAGGAGGGGGCACGGCCTCGGTGAGGGCTCGTCTGGCAAGGCCCAGGCAGCCTCTGTGGGCAGGCGAGTTCGGGAGCCCAGACAGGTGTTCCTGGGATGGATGGTTTTCCTGCGTGGGAGTGTTCCTGGGCTGTGAAACCCTCAGGATCTGCTCTTCTGGGCCAGAGGTTAGCACCGAACGTTTTCTGCACAACTGGAGTGCATGTTCTCTCCCCTCCTTTCCCCCCAATCCTGAATCCCTTTGGTCCATTGTCTGCTTCTGGGGCAGAGTCAGCCCAGCCTGAGGGTGGCTTTGGGGGTCGGCTCTGTCCGTGGGCAGGGCCAGGGAGCAGGAGTGGCCTGAGCCTGGTCTTGGGACCTTCCTTTGGGTAGCTGTGGAGCGTGGAGGGCAACTGGCTGGTTGGTATGGGAGCACAGGCTGCTGCCTGCCTTTCTGGCTGGGGGAACCCTAACACCCTGGAGCCCACAGGACTGCTGGTCCCTGATAGGTGGGAATTAGGGAGTTTGGGGATGGGCTTGGGCAGGTTGGGGGACAGCAGGTCTGTGGGTAGGAGAGGCTGCAGCTGCTGCCTCCTGGCCAGAATGCCCAGGCAGCCCTCTGGGCCCCGAGACCGTGGGCAACCAAGGGAAGGGGTGCCCAGCGCGGTGGCCTCTTGAGTGGACCAGAGGGACCTGCGTGATGGTGTGGGCTGTGGGCCCTATCTGGTCCCGGAGCCCCCCCAGGCCTAGGGCTGCAGCAGCCCCAGGGCGCCCAGGGCGCCGCCCAGCAGCAGGCAGAGGCGTGGCCCAGGCCCTGTGCCCGAAGTCCACGCTCGGTAGCTGTAGACGCCCCGTCCAGTCCCGTTGCCACCAGGCACCCCGTCCTCGTCGTCCTCCGGGCCGTACTCCCCTGGCCCCGCCGCCCTCCTCCAGCCTGTCCCCGCTGCCAGGCCCGCGGCCGCCCCCGCCGCCGCCCCGGCAGCCGCCGCCGCTGCCACGCGCAGGGAGGAGCCCGGGGCACTGTAGCGAGGCGCGGGCCTCACGCGCACCCTCGACGCCCCGCGCCCTCCCCGGGCGCTGCCCCGGGCCCCTCCACGGCCGCCCTTGGCTGCGCTGCCGTCGCAGAGGAAGGCAGCCGCCAACAGCAGAGCCCAGCACGTCGCGGCGGCCCAGTTCATCTTCGTTGGGCAAAACCTGCAGGAAGAGGGGGAACGGACCTCAGCTCCT